TTTTCATTTCTCAAATCCTCTCTGTAATAAGCCCTTATTGCTAATATTACCCCGTCAATTGCCATGGTAACAATCCTCACTTGTACCCTATACGAACATCCGGGTTCTAATGGTACATTATGGTAAMCATGGTAATAGAAGCCATCGCCAATGGTGAAACTACTAGCATTATTTGGATTTGCTGGAACCTCTGCAGTGATGTAAGAATCACCAAACACTGTTTTGGTGGTGACAGAGCACGTCTTCATGGATGTATCGTTGTAAGAAGTGATAGGGGATGATGGTATTTCACGACCTCTTTCCACCATAAATTGATACGAGCTGACAAATGGAGAAATTGAGCATCAAGATGAGTAAGGAAAGTTAAGTACGGATGATAAGAAGAGCAATAAAATAGTGAAATTCACCTTTTCAGACGTGCATCAAATGACCCTGTCGGTTTGGTTAGGTTCACAATAACTGCAGAATCTGTGATGCCGTTGTTTGCGTCGATTTGGAAATGAGGAGCCTCAGCTTTTAAAGAAACAGCAAGTCCAAATCAAATAAAGTTATCCGTGACTATATTAAATTAATGCACACTTAATATATCTGGCCATCAACCATGAAATTCGTAGCTTTGCAGTATTAGTTTTTAGAATTACGAATTTAAATTACTTTACCTATTTTGCACGTGACGGCAGCGTCCTGATGATGAGTACAGTTGCTTGTCTGCCACCAACCTGAATGACTACAGTTGACAATTGAATCTTCGTCACCGTGGCATTCAAGGTCACTAAGCCAGATGGTACCATTTCCAGGAATTGTGAACACGTGACTTACTCCAACATAACCAAGCATACGGCAGATCACTTTAGCATCGTTCCTACCCAGTCCTTTGCTGCATAGAGTGCCCCATATGTTATCATAGCGAATACCAACGCGTCCAGATTGCGGTATGGTACCGTTTTCTAGATGGAAGGCCACAACTGTTTGACCTGGTAAAGATAAAAAGAAGAAATATTTGAAGAAATTCATAAAGGTACGATTGTCGGGTGCAACTTTTAGTATACGATTTTACTACAACAATAAAGTCGTATCATTTTAAGCCGTAGTTCAAAATCCACTACAGGATGTAGGTTGCATACGACTATTGTAGGCAAGTCGTAATGGCATTTAATGACGCGAATTGGAGCTCATTTGAGTCGTGTAAATCGGTCTTAATTGATATTGTAATATGTTTCAAACTGTTATACCCGCTTTGCATGTGACAACAGCATCGTGGTCACACGAGGTCTGCCACCATCCTATGCGACTGCAATTCAGTATTGAAGTCTCAGTTCCATTACACTCAACACCACTAAGCCAGACACGACCATTAGCAGAGCTTGGTGTCCTCACAGCGTAAACATGATCAACATCCACATATCCAAGCATTCGACATATTACTTTCACATCAGGGTAGTCGAGTCCTTTGTAGCAGATGGGATTCCATGAATTACCATAACGAATACCAACCCGACCAGAATAGGGCGTGGTACCATTTTCCAGACGTACCTGTAATGACATGGAGTCTGCAAGCACGCGAATAAATGAGTGGATGACAAAATATTTTGTTCAAGAAGTAGTACATGAATGCAATGACTTGGTAAACCTTTCCACGGTCGATATTACAGTCAGAAAGAAGCTTGTTATTGAGTGAGACAAATGTTTTCCAGTCAGTGAAAACAGAATTAACAAGTAAATAGCAGGTACGTCCACATATTTACTTTACGGGAACGTTCTTCCTGATACAAAATGGCAATGGTAAATATAATTTATTGCTGTAATCCATATATAAATCTTACCTTTTTCACCTGAGCAACGAACTCCAACGTCGTACGAGTGATTACGGTGCCAAAAGTGGTTGTTGGTGTAGTGTTCACAAAACTCAAGTGATGCTTCGTTCCCTTTGCAGTTTCGATGCACTCTCATTATCAAATCATTCGTCCCTAGCAACCTCGCTCGTCCAGTCCATGATGCATTGCGGTATCCCAACATACGACAAACTACGTTAGCAGCTTTCAAGTTCCATCGTCTGTACCAGTCACTAACTGTGCCCCAGACTCCAGAATATCCGACCTCCACCCGGCCGTCGTTCAGGGATATGCCGTTTATCAAACGAACAGTAAATCTAGATTCTTTGAAAAATAAATCATTGATGATCTATCGTAAATAATTGAGTTATCTAGACAATGGATAGAGAATGGAAAGAGGTTTTTAATAGCATGGGAGCAATCATAGAAAGGCTGCAAAAGAGCTAGAGGTTGTAGATTGAGAGCAAAAATCCTGATCTATAAGAACCATGCAAGTTGCATATGAATGGAAAGGCCAAGATGAAAAAAGCATTTAGAAATAATTTCCGCTCAGGGTCCTGAATGGGATGTACGCATTCCATTTTCCCAGTTTATATTTGGCTAGTTCTCACTCAAAAAATATAAGGCTATTGATTGAAGATTGGTACCTTCATATGGTTTGCAGACCATCCAGGTTTTATAATAAGAATAATGACCATACACAGTGAGGGAAAAGCACTGTCTTGAACCACAAAGTGTGTCCACAGAGAATTGGTGTCTTTTACCACTTTCTGCACTTTCTTGAAACTGGGTGAAGACAATAACCCGACTGTAACCCATCATGCGACATATTGCATCAAAATGTAACCATCGATAAAAATAATGATAGTTTCGCAAATACACCGGTTTCCATAAGCCATAGTATCGCATTTCCAGGTGTCCTGCATGAGGAACTTGTCCACCAACCAGGCGGATTGTAATATTTGGTGACCCTTAAAAAGAAATGCAGCTATCAACGGAATGTATGAAATAACTGTATCCTTTGTAAGAGCTGTCAATTCCCAGACCTATAGCAATGTTGCTATTTGTGATTAGAATTATTTTTACTCTTCCATGTCACTCAATGCCAGGTTTAAAATCCTGGATGAATAGAAAATATGATAATTTTATCAAACGTAGACGTGTACTTTTAATGTCACCACAGTGTTAGCTGTTTGTCATCTGTTATGATGCACCTTTGTTCCAAAAGCTTCTATTTTGATAAATAGCTTTGTAGGTGGAGTGGATCCATTCAGTGGGTCCCCCTATTTATTTAGTTCCAAATCAATAGAGTAGCATACAATGTTTTGGATAGACCAACAGATTGGAATCCCTTAATGTAACCTCGATGCTCATGTAGTGAAGATTACGATTTGTATAAAAATTGTTGTCTGTTACTGCCTGGGGTGGGGTGGGGGTGGGGTTGTACTCTCCCCCCCCCCCCCCCCCCCCGGGCTGCTACTTATCTTGCTAGTCTTATTGGACAAAATATATTTATTTCAATTTTCTTTAATCACTTTCGTAGTCTTGCAAATATTGTATAGAACTGTAGCGAAGTCAAATTTGGTGGGAACTAGCAGTAAACTAGTGTGAACTGCGTTGGTGTTTCGTGAAGAAGCAGTTGTGTAAAACGAAGGATTAACGTCCGAAACGTCAGTAAGTTATATCACCTACTTTTTGTGTTCAATTTTATCTTTTTACACAACTAAAGTCAAATTTACCTGATTTACAAATAATACCAGCAAGGCTATTATTTGAACAAGTAGCATGTCCCCAGTTAAGGTTTGTACATGACTCAATGGACTGTTCATAGCGACTGCAGCTAGAACTGGAAATCCACACGTCACCAGATCCTTTGTAGGTATTGAAGTATACAGCATAACCATCAGGATAGCCAGCCATTCTGCATATGACATTGTAAGTGCTAGCATTATTCCAGATCGATCCGCAGACGTTTTTCCAGACACCCTTATAAAACAACTGCACTCGGCCAGCATTAGGCACATCACCAATCAGTCGAACATTGACAGGAGGACCTGTATTTAATGACAGATTTTTAGCAAATACAATACTTGGCATTCAAAAACTCATACATAATTAATGAGCTACTAGGCCAATATAATGAGCCTATTTGGTCACGTGCATGGACCTATCTGATAAAACACTCCTTATTAGTATTCTTTATATAAAGAATACTAATAAGGGTGACCTTTATCAGATATAAAGGTCCATGACCCTAGCAAAGGTCTCAGGTTTGAAACCTGATCATTGACCAATGCAGGATGTCAACCGATTTCAGTGAACAGCCAAGAGCGATTCTATTTTACTTTATGCGTATTCAATGTGGGATGACAAGAGTGCTTTGTAAAGTGATTAGCGCATGATCAGTTTGCCCCATTTATCTCTGAACATATTTGTACGGCAATTTCTCCAAGAATTTTAACGGATTTGAGTTTTTAAAGCCGTTTAAAACACTCGGGATCGTGTTTTAAACATTACATAATATATTAGTTAGATTTCTCCTACTTCTGTACATTTCTCACCATTCTGTTTTAAAAAACTCCAATTTTTAGAGAAAATGTATAGGCGTATTAGCGTTTTTGCCTTATACTAACAACTTTTAAGTGAAGTTTATTACCATTAATACTGCCACAGGATATTTATATACATGTACATATTCAATATTGCAATAATTCTGACCCTCTAATACAGCCTTTTGCAAAAATTATGAGAATTGTCTAAATATCTAAATATCATAATCAGTCCATATCCATATATTGTCCGGAACACGCGGGTTTGCTAGAATAATTCATTGTTGACATCGAGAAAATGTTCAGAACTACGGATAAGTCTGTCGCCAAAAAAAACCCTAAACTACAAAGACAAGGGACTAAGGGCATTGCGTGGGATTACCCATCATGCACTCGATATTATGATATTTAGATATTTCAACAATTCTCATAATTTTTGCAAAAGGCTGTATTCATATATATATATAATATATATATATAAATAGAATAAATGAAGAAAAAGCCACACAACT